TTTCTTTTCTCCTCTGCGCTGCGTTGGCAAACTAATCTCACCAGTGCATCAACACTGTGTCCCAACATGGCGGCGGACAACTTCCACTGCCACTAACTGTTTAAAAACACATGCTTTTTTTACCCCAGTATACAGCACAAACCACTCCAAGCCTAGAAAGCAGGCTCCAAACCTCACCTTTCTCAGCTGTCAAAGTCATCACAACTGTGTTCAAAGCAAGTTGCTCGCAGTACACTGGCCACAAATTTGGTAACAATGGACTTGGCTATGGCACTGTAACAGGATGAAATGCCACATTTTTTTAGTTCATAAGCACAAACACACCCCCCAAACCAGAGTACTACAGACCCCTGTGAACAACAGGCACACCCAACCGAGGCACTGGAAGACCTGGCATTTGTTTTAGTGTCCTGAGAGGTGCTTCTGCCTGGTGGGAGTTGTGGTAGAGCTAAAGGCCTGTGCACTTGCAGTGAGCTGCCCTCTCACTCACCAACTGCCTTATCTCACTCCAAAACTGGCTGCTTGCCCCATCTGACGCCTGTTGGGGATTTTATGGCTCCAACACTGACATTTGAGCTGCCACGAATTATATAGGGCACCACTCTTCCTTCTCTTGGCCCCAGGCCAGGAAAACTATGGCTTTCCTAATTGATCAATCTTGTTTGTCTGGACAGAAAGGAGCCAAAATAACTCTCCCAGCACTTGACTTGCAACAGGGACTCTAAATTGCATTATCTAATGTCAACACGAAAGCCTGTGCTCCACTGGGCAGGGATGGGACTGCACTTTCCCAATCAAAAGGTCTGTCAGCTGTGCGGCCCCCACTGCTTCCCCATGCTTGCTCCTGGCACCTCCACTCTCCACCACGCCTGGTGGATGCCAGAGGCAGTGGTAAAACCCTGCCTGCCAGACACACAGCCTCTGGATCCACTAACAGCTTGGAAAACTCAAAGGGTGATTGGGTTTTATTTCCTCAAGGCAGGCTTCTCCGAGTCCTGTGGAAGGGAGTTTCTGGACATGACACAGGCTGGCAGAGGTGGAGAGAAGCATGTGCACACTGGTGGCTGAGGGTGCATGAGGACCACAAAACCACCCCACAAGGATAGCTCACCTTCCCAAAGCTGAGCGATGCCCTTCATCAGACTTCACAGGCTGCGGAGACAAGGCACTGCAGTGCACTCTGTTGGCAGGATGCGAGACTTAACTGCGAGTTGTGTCATTCAGAATGCTGTACCAAGTTAAGCACAAGTTAGCTAACTTCATACGGCACAGATCAAAAAAGGTGGCTAACTCCTTTTTTTGCCCGTAGGAAAATGAGATTGAAATACTGAACAGTGAATGATCCATCTGCATAGAGTACATCCCTCCCCTCACAGAGCGGGTAGGTGGTTTAGTGGCTCAAAAAGCTTTGAAGTTCATTCATGACCTGCTCCATGAACAGAACAGCATGTCTGCAGGTATGCTGTGAAGTACAGCAATTCCTCTGTATGTATACAACAGAGAATTCCCAGTTAAAGAGAAAACATTTCTTTTAGCATGTAAAAAGATTTAAATATGGAAAGCCCCATGTGAGAAATATTTGAAAGTATGAGAAGCAGGTATTACCAATGCTACATAACCAAGATATGGCTTAGGAAGGCCACAAAATTTGCTTCTGTCACTACTGCTTGGGAGCACTCTTAACTAAAACCCCTTCCTTTACGAAAGGAGTTAATGTTAAATGCATAAGCGTTACAGTTAAGTTCATCAGTAGAAGTTCCTTTTCTTTTACAACCAGTGAAATCACTTACTTGTGAAATACCAAGAATGCAGTAGCAACCCTGGTGCTCATCAGCCAAGAATGTGGAAGGCCCATCTGCATCAGAGCCTGGTTTTTTAGTCAGAGAAGAATTGTTAGCCACCAGTGTTGGCATGTAATTAACTGCCAACATGAAAACCCACATTCTCTAGCATTAACAGTTTAGAAAGGGTAAAAAATGGATTTAACAAAAAATATTTCAGCATTTCAAGATCTTAGGCTGTTTCTCACCAGATACGGTCAAGTTCTGCTCTAGTAGTCATTCTCTCCTTGGGGAAGAGGATTTAAACTGGATTTTGATACTTCCTCCTCTTCCTGTGTCTTTACCAGCATGACTTAAATCATTTTCTGTCTGCTTTCTCTATATTGGTACAGCCTATTCTTCTACACACTGTCAAGTTCTGCTGGCCTCACACTCTGCAATGAGATTTATAAAGCAAAACAGAATAAGCGAAGACATGATTTCACACTGCATTGTTGTGGATGACTGTACTCGGGTTCAGAAAGCAAAACCACGTAACGAGTGACAGAAATTTACTCCTCATGACAATACAGAAACATGTAACTCATTAGTTACCACTCCCATGTTAAAAATGTTTATTTTTAAAATAAGCTGCAAATGTTGTGTCTTTCCAACAAATGCAAATCAGCTTTTTGGTGGTAAATAGCAGGTATTTATTTGAAATGAAAAAAATACTTCAGTACCTGAACTATTGCATTTAATCATGTATTGTTGTAGTTGTGTTAACTCTACCTTTTTGCATTGGAGACAAATATACAATGAACATTCAGATATCACAGATTGCACACTAGATAGTAAATCGTCAGGCCTTTTACGTAACCACCAAAAAACAAATATCGGATTCTGCAATATAGTACAAAATTCCACACTCCAGTCTTAGCCAGTTATCTTCAATTTACTCCTGATGCTGTACAAATAAATGGCCATTCAACTAGGGCTTACAAGTTAATAACAGGACAAAAAAAATATACATTGCACTGACACAAAAAGTCAGCTGTGTTAATAGTCATGCAACAAGTAACCAAACTTGCTGAAATTAAAAATACTTTCTAAAAACAGTTTTAACTGCATAAGTATTTTATACACAGTTCATTTACTGAAACAAAAGGAGTCTTTAAATGATACAAAGCAAATATAAGTTTCTACCAATTTTATACATAAGAAAGTGCAAAATAACTTATCTAAAGTGTTTTGCTATTGATGAACGTGGGCTGGATGCAGCCAACCCCCTCTCATAAGCATGACATTACAGTTGCACACTACATACGAATGTTAAGAGTACATGAATAAGTATACTACAAAGAACAAGGCAGGAGAAGACATGTGAGGTACTTGCAGAGAATACAGTCTACTAATGTTAGTGTACATGAGTATATTTTTGCTTAACAGATTTTTACATGGAAAACAAAGCAAATATTTGCATTAGAAGCTTGAAAGAAATGGAAAAAAACCCACTCCCAAGTGAACAAAACAGTTGCCCACAGCACCAGCTGCCAGAGGAAATAAGAGCAGGTGTGTTTTTTCCCCTCCACCTCCTACAAGCAAGAACATGGGTTTTGGGACAGCGCCTCCGAAGAATTAGGTCAGGAGGGCTGCGGTGATTTATTTCCAAAGTGTAAACTGGGACTCACCTCCTCGCTACTGAACTTGTAAGGAATAGTGACCTTGAGTTTTTTAGTATGCTGCCAAACATCAAAAGCATTGAACAACACCCCTGCGACGTGCTTACGTAGCTGAACACAGCCAACTACCTCTTCACTGATGGCCCACTATCTTCATGACCCCCATTAGTGCTATATGCCAACTGTTTGCTTTAGTGTTTAAATTCTATCAGTGTTATTGTCATAAATCTAGTTTTTATCAGGATTTGATTATGTGGCTGTACAAGTTCTAGTCTGTAGAAAAGACGACTTCCCTAAATTTTGTTTTGAAATCTGGAGGCAAGGGGAAGAAAACTCTGTGGACTCAAAGGCATTTCAGAGTCGTTAAAACAGCCTTTTCTTCAAACCAAAAACGTTAAGGCCACTAGCCTGTCTTCTGAACTGTGCTGGTTTCGCATCATTTTGGGAAGGGTGAAGGCAACGTTAGAGAGAACAGCTGAACACAGGAATTCCAGTGCTCCGCACATGCTTACTGAGGACCTCCTTCCTGTTTCTAGGGACAAGTCTGTCAGGGTAGCCATGCAGCATGGCTACTTGATCATCATTCTTTGGATCTATTTGGGTCAGCTAATCTCAACAAACCTGCATTTACTCAACAGTGTGCAAGGGCTCTAAAGAAGCCTTTCTGTTCATTTGGGGACCTAGTATACATACCAAAACAGGAATATATCTCATTTTACAGACCAGCACATACATAATAAACAAACATGTATCAAAATACATATTTAACCTTCAGTGCATAAACATGTGATACCAGGGTAAATAGTAAGTGGTCAGGATTAACAGATTATTCACCGCTAAAGACTCAAATCAAGAGAAGACAGATGTGCTCCTGCAGTGCCAAGGACCTTCTGAAGGGGTTCACACCACCACAGAGGGTCTGGCATTTTTGATGATGCAATTCTGACAACAGTGCCGGTTTTAACCGTTTGCTGTCCCATGGCCAGAGTCTGTCTAAATCATCCCAAGTGAAGGATAATCTCGTCTTGAGTGAAGACACTCACTGAAGTACCAGCAGAGCAAAAGCAGGGCCACCTACCTTCTATTGGTTTGGGTCACATCCTTACTGCTATTTAAAAGAATCATTGTGAATATACCTAGATCTAGATCAGTTTGTCACCCATTTACAAAATATATACACATACATTAAAAAAAACAAAACCAAACCAAACACCAGCCTGTCCCCTGCCCTCCCCTCCCTCCCACTCCCAACCAAAAAGCCACTGGCAAGACCTCATTCAGAAATTAAGTCCATGGGCCCATCCAATGCACGCATTCCAATCCCAGTGGATATCAGTGTCTCTACTTCATCCCATATGTAGTGCAAAATAAATGACAGAGTAGTAAAAAAATACTGCAATTAAATTCATATTTGAACTTAAAAACCATAATGGAAATCTACTGCTGTCCTCAAGTTGATGCCATCTGCTGAAACACAAAGATAGCTCTTAGAAGCATTTCTGACATGACTAATATCACCCTGTTTTAGAGCAATGCCTATTGTTCCAGAAGTTTTTTTGCAAACAAGCTACAGGACAACAGCGGTTAAAAGTTTATGTAACAAGGAATTCATTCTGTACCTATATGCAAGCCAACTGCTCTTGACTAAAGTAGGTAAAAGCTGGTTCTTGCACTGCATGAATCAGCTGCTAATGAACATTAAGTAATTAACAAAACTGCAGCTCTGACATATGTATAAAAGAGGCCTTATTAAATATGAACAACACTGAGGTGGTAAATAGTTTGGTATAAAATGCAACACAAGTGTACAATTTAGTTCCTGGTTATCTTACAGCTAGAATAAAATACTCCAAGTCCTATTCTCAAAAATGTTTTCTTTTGAAAAAATCCATGTAATTCTATGAACAGCCTCACTTAAAATTAAGATACTGTGGGCAACTGAAAGAAGAACATGCACAGACTGGATTTTTAACAGAAATACGCATAATGCCTTAGAATCTTTTTCTCTTTTTTTAACATTCGTATTTAAATTGATGAGATAAAGATGCCACACAAAGTATAGCGGTTAATCTGAAGTCCCATGTAACAGGCAGTTAAGTTCATATTTAGATAAAAAGGCCATTATACCTATTTACAATATACACAGTTGCTTGCGAAGAAGGCAGATTTACAACTATCTTCTAAAAAGCCTTCCCCTCCCCTCCCCCCGATAAAGATGACTAGCTCTACAAAAACAAGACAAGAATGGGTGTTTAGGATTAGTGAGGATTTTCTCAATAGCCACGTCAACATGGGTTGAGGGGCTGACAGTTCTATTGTGGTTATTAATCATGTCTTCCTGGGCCTTGCTCTTCACTTAATTATACCATTAGCCTCATTTACCTTCTGTCAACACAAATCAACTCAATGATCCCTTTTTACTTATAGTGCTTAAAACTCAGTATAAACTTAAGTGTAAACAGGCAATATTCTAATCCCTTCTGATCACCGCACGATACTCTCACTAGTTCTTTGAGTGACGGTGCGGCTGGATGGAGTCTGTTTGCCACAACCCCATCAATTTCTGGGCCCCTCCTCTGAACCCCGCTCATGCTGCAGGTTGTAGAAGCAGTTCTGGCAGACTCTGACTGGGGATGAAATCTTCAGACGCTTGATTTCAGATTGAAACCTACTGCACCTGTAGAGGGAAAACAAACGCTGCTGTGAACACGGGTCCTCTCCCAACCTCATTTTTTATCCAGGTGTGGAAATTATCACCATGATTTCACATACCAGAAAACTGTCCAAACTTATCTTGACAAAGAAATGTAACACCGTGTGGCAGAAGCAGAATTAACTTGTATGATCACCACAGAATCAACACAATAACTCTGCATGAGAGGCAGCTTAAAAACAGTTGTTGTCACCAGCGTAGATTCAAAGTACAGTTACAGATATGAAACTAGAAATACCATCTCTGACCTGGTGGACAAGAGAGAAGACTCACACCTCAGTTTCTATGTAAGGGGAGCTCACATACATCCTCTGTGTCATACATTTTCCCTGTCTGACGCTGTATGGATTTATAAAAGGGATGGTCTATCTTTTCTAATTCCTCCCTGGAAGCTTTGAGAGGTTTGATTTTTTTCACGATCACTTCTATTTTGGTAAGGGCAACCTCAGTCTTTCCGCAGAGTTCTGTGGTGTGCAACAGCTTTACCTAGCCTAAAATTCTGTATAGAAAAGAGCCCAGAGAAGACTGCTGGCTGGCTTACTTCTGGCAGAAGAGCTGTCCACAGTTCCTGCAGTGGTGACGTCTCTCAGTGAGTGAAAAGCGGACTGAGCAGCCCGAGCAGCTGTCTCCCCCCTCGTCCTTCACCCAGTGATCTGCTGCAGACCGGCCAGGCTGATCGCTCACAGACCAGCTGAACACTCTGCCTCGACCATCCCCAATCAGAATTCTGCTGTGATCCCTGCAATTTCCTGCAACGAGTCTGGCACAGTAACATGCGGACATCAGTGACCAATTTTACATATGTAATATGTTAAACTACTGACATAGTAACTAATGTGCAAATTAACCTGGCCTGATGGAGCTATAACACCACGATGTAACTTAATACAGGTGGATAAGTCTGTCTGTGGTTTGTACCGCTTCTCCCTGACAGCACTGAAAAAATGTTTTAAGCAGTTGCTTGCAAGCTACTTACTTAGAGATGCCCAGTGCAGTGATTTCTGCTGGGTGTGCGTTGTCTTTGCGATCAAATGCTGTGTGCATAGTTAGTTTGCTTCTAAACACCAACTGACGCTCCCATCTGTATCCTAGAAATGAGTGGGAAGCAGGAAAGGAAAAAGGAAATTTGCTTGTTCTCATTTTTATTCCCTCCTCCCCCAACATACCTGTGTATGTGACTTTGTAGAAGATAACTCTCTGTGACTCAGGGAAAACATATTTTTCAGCTGCTCCCCAGTGCATGCAAGAAGATGATACAAAAGAATGCACAGAGCCCCTGATTTCTCTAGGTTCAGTTGGGTGCTGCTGAGAATGGTGACACACACAGGGAAGCCCTGTACCAGAGCCTGGCAGGACTGGGATATAGCTTCATTTTTTAGTTTATTTTATTTTCTTTTTAAAGTCAAGACTCAGATTTCCAACTGTCACTAATTTTCTTCATAAAAGCTCATACGATGCTGTGTTTTGGGTATGTGACTAAAACGGTTTTGATGACATACCAGTATTCTGGCTGTTGTTCAGCAGTACTTGTGGAGTGCCAAGGTTTTCTCTTTTTCCCCCACTCTGCTCTGCCTCCCCCTGGCTCTGAGGACTTTGGAGGTGTGCAATAAGATGGCAAGGAACACAAGCTGGACGGCTGCCTCAAACTGACCAAAGGGATATTCCACACCATATAACATCACGCCCAGCAATAAAACTGGGCAGAGGGGTTTTTGAGCAAGACAGGCATTTGCTCAGAGACTGCTTGGTCATCATTCTGCTTGTGGGAGGTGGTGAGTGACTGCCTTTACATCACTTGTTTTGTCTTTTGCTTATTAGACTATCCTTAACTTATCATTTCCCTTGCTTTTGGTCTTTATATTCTGTCCCACATCCCGCTGCAGGGGGTTGTGGTGGTGAGCAAGTGGCTTAGCTGCTGGCCAGAGTGAACTGACCACAGCTTTTCAGGAAAAGCTTAAACAATGTGCAACCGTTGCACACAATCTTTTCATTGACCATCTTGGAATTTATCAGCCAACCCTGCTCAAAGCTGCACAGACAGAAACTGCCTTACAGGTCAGTGCTGACAGCACATTTATTAGACAGAAGAAGTTCTTTTACCTGGTTTAAGCTTGCTGTAGTGCCGTACTTCAGCATAGCTGGGGTGCGGGTGGTTAACCTGAGCATGGGGATGCATTTTTGCTTGTCCCTCAGAATAATTCACGAAGATAAAGCCATCTTTTTCATCCAAGCTGAGCTGGTCTGACCAACGCCTGGAGTCATCAGAGCCGCTGTCTGCTGACCATGCTGCCGCTGCTCTGTTTGATGATGACCTAGGCCTGTGGCTGGTGCTGCTTGGTTGACTCTGGCACTCCTGTGGTTTTGTGTCCTGGCCTATGCATGTATCATCTGCCTCGGAGTCACTGCTGTCCTCTTCGTGAGCTTCCTGACCTGGATTCACCCAACAGGGGAGAAGACATTGTTAGTAAGGCTGCTTGTAGCCTGAGCTGTTTCCCTATTCTGCTGCTGCACTATGAACAACCCAACAGGTACAACCACAGCATGACTAGAGGGAAACTGCAAAGCAGGCATCTCAAAGCCTTTGCAGAGATTCAGCTCCTGCTAGTAATCACACTATTCATCTTTTTTCACTGGTCTGTCAGAAAACAGCATGCTTTAGCTGAAGCTGTTTCCTAAGATAGTCCATCCAGAGTAGGCTGTGATAAAGTAGATACAATAAGTAAAGATTCCAAAGATGCTGAAGTTAGCAGAAACAAATCCTGGTGCTTTGCAGCAGAACTTAAACAAGTAAACACAGTCAACTATAGTGAAAGTCTGGTTGATTGAGAAACGTGGCGCAGCTTTGTTAATAACAGATTTTGTTAATGCAAAAAAGCAACTGCCAAAGAAATATATACTCCTAATGACGGGGGGGGGGGGAAGAGCTGTATTTATATAATAATTACTAATGAGTATCACATGATCCAGATCCAAATCCAAATCATATCTTCAATATGAAGAGGGCAAAAGGGAGGTAAGATAGCTATAAGAAACACTTATCAAGCAGAGACCAAAATCTTCCAAACGGGAAAATGATATGGCCAGCATTGCTGTCTAAACAGTTCCATCAGTAGGTTTTTCTTTTTAACTCTGCTGTTATGCTATAATTCCATTGAAAAATAAAGAAAAAACATCTAGCTTTTGGACAATGGTGCCATCCATCGGGTTCAACGATAGCAGAAACAGCTACTCAGAGAAAAGTTCAGTCTTCACAGGGAAAGAGAAAAAAGCTATGATGGGCATGATTTTTTCTTACTCATAGCAGTAAGAAACTACCATAAGCAAGGTGGTGAACAAAGAACTCAGATGCTCTATTTATGATGCCCACTGCATGTCTATTGTCTTTTGAGACAAAATCCCTGTTGTCCATTCTGCACTATAGAGCCACATGATTTTACCTATGGATAGCGAAGATCAGATAAAAGACAAATACAAAATACTTGTTGGGAGACATACCTATTTGTGCTTCCTGACAATCCTCTTGCATTTCCAGCATCTCCACGGGCTCTGGAGCTGGTGTTTCTGGTACTTGCAAAAACTCCATCCTCCAGAACTGGAGGGACAGGGAATAAGCAAAGTGTCATGTACTGAACTCTTAGCTTTCTCCTGAGCTACTTCTGGAGTTAAAATGTCTTATTGGAACTGTTCATTTACACTGGTAGCATGAGATACAGGTTACATGTCCATACCAAGCCCTGTTTTCTGGGGCTAGGTACTATAAAAGGACATTTGTGTTTATGCCTGAATCACAAGTGAACAAGTCTTGTGCTGTTATTTAACATCTGAGCTGTTAAAATAAAAAAAATACACTCCATATAGCAATCTGACCAACAGACTCTGGGTTAAGGCAGACCTAGGACTGCACACTGCGCAAAGTACTGAAAACCACGTTAGACTCAATGAAAAGAGACGCCACTAAGTTCCTCTTTTCTTTCTAGGCAGCAAAACAAATTGCCTCAAGGTGTGTAGAACAAAAATGGTGAATGAAGCTACTATCTCTAGGCATGAAAGCTGGTGACGAAAAGGTAACCAAAACAGAGCAGGAAGGAAAATGTGTGCTGCTGACTATTGCTAGTTGACATATCACAATGGGTGCATCAAAAAGGAGAAAGAAAACTGAAAGACTGCATGGGATTGCAGCTCAGTGAAAGTGTTTTCCATGAATCTTCAATGTCCATCTAACTTGTGGACAGGATACAGTGCATCACCTTGTGCAGAAATGGCACAGCTGGTTCCAGCACCAAAAGCAGTCTGCATCATCTACCCAGCCTTAGACTCCCTCCTTCCTGCAGGATTAATTGTTCAGGTGGAGGACCCAAGTACACCAGGCCTGCTTTTGGTACCAGTGAGGACACTGTGTTGCATAGACATGATTTCTCTAACTACTGCTACTACTAAGGTGATATAAACTTAATTTTCCAAGCAATGACTCCTGGTACTTACCCGGACAACCCCGTCTGAATGTCCTGTTACTATGACATTCTGGGTGTCCCACTCATTCATCTCTGACACAAAGCAACACATTATTTGCTGACTTCGGCCAGTGAAAGTGTTTACACTTGCAGTAGGGCTGCCATTAATGCTCCATACATGGATGTAGGTGCCAGCGCATGATACAATATCACCCTGCAAAGACAAATAACACCTCCATATTTCAATAGAAGTCTTGGGTTTTCTTCAGCAAAAACATAAGCCAGGTGCACTTACAAATCAAGTTCAGCCATCAAGGCTGGCACTTGTCAAACAGAGTTTGGCCACCTAAGCAAACCTTTAAGATACACGTTCTTAAAATTGTATATAGAAAACCAGACTTAGTAGCAACTTATTTGTTGTATTTACACCATACAACGAGACAACAAATTCCTCCACTTTTCACGGCATAACAATCCACCAGCATATTTTCAGTACTTTCCCTTCTCAGTTTTCAGTCTCTGCTCATGCTGACTCTGCTCTTTTTTACAGTCGTGTACCACCTTAAATTTCATTTGCTTCCTTACTGGGAAGAGAGCAAGAGATGGTCCAAATTAGTGTAGAGGGGAAACAGAAACTTCAGCCTATGCCACTGGCAACACTACAAGCACCAGGCTACTAGCAGCTAATAAAATGTGCCTCTTGCTATCCCTTCCTTGCATTACAGCCCTGTTTTGTTTTGATTTCAACTACTACATCCGCTCCAGTTACAACATGTTCCATCTAGCCCTGATGGACAGTTACATAAAGTTTCAACTCAGGTAAATTCTTTGACATGCATGGGAACTGGAGAAATGGCAACCTGTAACTTGCAGGACCACCAGGGGACAAGCTTTGAGGACATTCCTGTTTTCTGCTACAGCTGTCATTGCAACTTCATCTTCTGCTTCCTTTAAATCAAGCGTAACAGAACAGAAGTCAGCCAAGGTCACGTATCAAAATACTTTCTTAGCTCCTGTGGCAGGTTTGACAATGCACTTTGAACACTGCACTAGCTATACGCCTGCCAGCACTGTTAAAAAGCCCTTCCAAGCTCAAACCACTCTGCATGGTATAAACCCACATGTGTCTCTGGCCAAAAGATGCAAATTGCTCCCTAAACCAGCTAACTGATTTACAGATGAGTTATAGAAGTTTTGGCAAACTAATAGAAAAGCCTAGTTTGTTTTTCTTTCTTTTAACAGCTTCTGACTCCTGCTACTGTTCCCACTGCACATCAGTGAATGGTATTTGGTTCTTACCGTTAATTCATTTATACAGAGTGCTGAAACTGGAGCCTTGTGACCTCGAAGCTGTGTTAGAAATGAGAGTTTATTCAAATCCCAGATGATGCAGGTGCGATCCCGTGATCCACTCACAATTATGTGATAAGCTAGGGATGCTGTCAAGCATGTGACAGTGTCAGTATGACCCAGTAATGCCTGCAAAACCAAAAAAGGAGGAATTAGCTGCAATCAGGAGAGAGCAGAAAGATTACTATGTTAAAGTCACTTATCTGAAAAGATTCAGGTAATGTAAACATGAATATCCTATCAGAAGATTCAATTGACTTAAAAGTATTCAGTTGGCAACTATTTTTGTAATTGAAAACTATAGAAGTAATTTTTTCCCCATTTTAAAAGTACTTTCACAAAACTGAATTTCAAGGGTCTAATGTTCTATAGCCTTCTACTGAAAAAAAACCCAAAAAAACCCAAAATAAATTTCCAGCCCATTCTGCATCTTCCGTCTGCATCAATAGCCTGGATTATAGGGTCAGTATGTGTTCCAGGATGCATCTGAAATTACATCCTGAAAACAGAAATTCTATGCAAATATGAAATGGATCCTACATAAGCATCTGTTGATGATTAAAAAGGGATAAGAGACTAAGAGCTGCAGCCACAAAGGCAAAGTCAATTGGGAGGAGAAAATTACAAGCATCTACTTGTATTAGATCCTTCTTTTACATTTTAGACTTAACCTAACTGTTGGAACAGGAGTCTGGAATACAGTCAGACTAGCAGTTTACTCGGTTACAAATCAGATTGGCTACAAAGTCCAAAAAAATTTGCCTTCAATATGCTGCCCTGAAATGTAAGATACAATGTTTGATCTTGCACTGTTCTAAGTAAAACGCTTTGGAAATACAGCTTTGGACAGTTGCTGGAGACTGTGTAAGGGAAGTTATTAAATAGTTCTCTAAATTTCTTCTCCTAAATTTGAGTGGAAGCTTTCTTCTGGAAATGCTAACAGGAACAATAAACTTAACCTAGCTACCTATGAACAATGATATGCAGCTTCTAGAACATTTTGAGGTAGTTTTGGGTGGCTTTTTGTTACATTTTGTTTGTGGGTGGGTTTTACGGTTTTGGTGGGTTTTTTTGGTTTTAGTAAACACACAAGACTTTGCACTCAGCTGCAACTGACTTTGAAGCACAGGAGCCTGTTTGTTAGACTAAAAGTTGGTATTTCGAATCAACAAAGCAAGAACAACTTAAGGTGATCCTGAACAAGTGTACTCCGCTCCATAAGCATCACTGCCAGAAAGAGCAATGTTTTGTGCAGAAGTGTAATTTAAATATGTACATTTTTAAAGAAACAATAATTTAAAAAAAAAATAAAAAGCAAAATGAACCTTTTAAGTCCCCTTCACTGCTCTCCCGACTCAATTTTCAGATGTGGGTATTTTACATACAACACTACAATAAAGCAGATTTGACAAAACACGCCTGTATAATTTTTTTAACATTGTTATCATATTCTCTCTTTCTCTAAAAAGCTCATGGTGATGAACTATCCTTAAAACTGACGCAATTTTAAAGACACATTTTGCCCACTTTCAGTGCAGATCAGTACCTTGACTACTCAGTTCTCCAAAGGTCTGCTGGACCTTTGGTTTCTCTGCAGAACCATGGTTTCAAAGTTTAGTATGTGAGCAATACCCCTTTTATAATTCCTTTGGTCTTGTAACATAATTCACATAAAAGGCATCTTTTTTGTGTTTTACCTGTTTCAGTGTGAGAGCTTTAGCTTTTTCTTTGGAGATGCCCATTTCCCATACACACACTGCTGTGCTCGTTCCTCCAGTGATAACTAGTTTGGGGTTGGGGCAAATGGCACACAGTATCTGACCCCATTCTGACAAACATTCATAAACAATTACTGCCTAAAAAGAAAGAAAAAAAAAAGGAAGAATTACTTGCAGGATTAGTGTTTGGTACGGTAAAAATAAAAATCTAAGTGCCACCCTGCACGCTGGGCCATTAAGTGGCTAAGATATCGCTGTTACCCCTCATGCAGTTTTTCCTCAAACGGAAGCAATTTCAGCCTCTGCCATAACATGCCCCCTGAGAGGACAATAGGGTTCAGCTTTAACTGTACGGATTTAATTCATTCATGTTTTGCAGACCTGGTAAAAAATTATTGTTAACTGGTTCATGTCATTCTGCCAGAGTTCTGATGAAGATCAGCAATAAAACATTTGCAGTACAAGATCATTTCATTCACATGTGAAATAAATTTCCATTGTTAGATTTTTTTTCACTATTGAGTACTAACTGCTTTCGGTACATTCAGCACTGAAACAAATTCCAGATTACAAACCTTGTCTGACTCATAGGTACCCAGTCTACAGCTGAGGTCTGCATAGCCCCAAGCAAAAGTTTTGTTCCACGTAGGTGGGATGAGAACTTTATTCTGCTCTACTGCCAGAATGCCTTTATCAGTACACACGATCTGTCCCACGGGCTCCTTGAGCTCTAAAAAAAGAAGATGGGGTTATGTTTTATTGCTAGCACAAACAAATACTACCTGATCCCATTAAATAGCAGGATATCTGTATTGGCTATATTTACAAATCTTTTTTCCAACTGTAACAATGGCAACTTTTGCTACATTCCTAGCAAAAGCAGGACTAAGCACCATCGACAGTGGTGAGAAGACCCAGGGGATCATAAATAGCTCTGATCCCACCTGTGATGCTGCACATGGTGTTCTTCAGACAAAATATCTGTGGTCATTAAAAGTGATTGTACTGGTTTTGGCACAGTTTTTGGTATCAGTTCCAACATATTGGCGAAACATTCCCACATGCTCCATTCCTGACTATAGCTCATAATGTCCTACCTGTTTTCCTGCCACATATCTCAGTATTTATTGGCACTGCAATACAGAATCCTTCTGCTATGAAAATCACAAAAATTGAGGCTAACACAGACCCAGAAGCAATGTACCCCGAATATTGTTTCTTAAGTTAAAACTTTAAAGAGGTGCTTGGGCCCAGTTTTATCCCTCTGTTTTAGAAAAGTTAAATTAAAGTAGTACAGATTTGGTGCTTCCAAGTACACTTTAAGGTAGCTAAGAACATAATCTTATAGCATTTAGGATATTTTAAATTTGTCTTTCTCACAAAACTACAGGCATTAAGAATATTAGAACTAAGCAAAACATGGAAAAGGACAATCTTGCCAAAACTCTGCGTATTCTAGCAAAAAACCAGGAATAATTACTGTGGTTTTACAGTTTACCTTTCACTGGGGTGAGAGATGGCCGCAAGTTGTCCAAATGATGGAAAAAAATCTTGTCACTTGTGGAACCAGGGGGCACGGAGGTTCCCACAACATCTCCATTCAGTCTGCTTCTAACACGCTTTGGTGGGTGTGGTTTTTTAAAGAGCTGAAATTCATCAAGATATTAGTTATCATAAAAAATGACAGGTTTACAAGAGCACAAGCTTTAAGAGATCAGCAGCATGCCAAATTTATCTTCTAACGATCCTGCAGGCCAGCAAACATTACTTAACTGTTCTCAGTATTCACCAACAACTTATGGCAACCATTTCAGTAAGACTTCAACAAATAAAACGAAATCCAACAAGGCTATAATGAGCAAACTGTTTTTAAAGCTACCTCCAGTTGCAAAAGCAGTTGAAGTAAAGCAAGCAAAAATCCCAAAGTTGATGCAGAGCACAGTATTAAATTCTAACCTAGGACAAACTAATTTTTGGCTTTGACATTTGAAAGTTTCACTGGACAGGAAAAGAAAACCTTAAGAAATGCATGAGAGAGGAAACCCTTAACTCCTCTCAAAATAACTACAAACCTACACTGTAAAACTTTAGATTTAGTATTACATTTAATAATTTAATGTAATCTCTTAAAGACAACACAAACTTTCAAGCCACACCAAACATATGTCTATACAGCTCCTTAACTATAGCTGTTCTACAACTGAACACCAACAGACTGGTGTCAGAGAAGCTTAAGTTATAGAAATATAGGACGGAAGCATAAGTTATAGAAATTATTTTATTACAGGGTAACTTAAAATACCTAAGCACTAATCATTACTTTGAATTGCACTTTCACTGCCACCTTCTGACTTTGCAGTACGAACATACTTTTCTATGTTGATTTTCAGAGTTGAACTGTAGTTCATCTCACCTTTACTTTGAAGGTGCAAAGAGGGGAAAAAAAATAGATATTTCTAATCTCACAAGCAAAGCCCTGAGTTGATTTTCATTGCATTTATGATGGAAATGTAAATGATTTCAGATCACCAGGAGAATATTAATGAAAAACACTCCCAGGAAGTTTCATTTCTAAACCATTTTCCCATTCCGTATTAATACATTTCAATTTGAGTGCCACCTGGCCAACAAGAATTCTACAAAGGGTGTACCTGCTTTGGTATCTGTCCAAAGTTATTAATGAATCCTATGGTAGCTGTCTCTTTTAATGGATCGTTGATGTTATATATGTCCACTTGCCCCTCATAGAAGAGATGGTGAAAGACATTTACAGCTTCAACTGCAGCAGGACCTTGCTGTTTATAGCCAAAGATCAAGTCAATCCACTCATGCAGGTGTGCACTCACAAAGTCACATTCCAGAGCCTGAAATTAAAAGGGCAGGCATTAGAACTAGCTGTATCCATCACTGGTTGAGTCTAATACACCTGCCACAAAGAAAATGCAGAATACATTTTGACATATTCTCATTACGCTTTGACGAAGCTTTTCATTGAACCAAGTCTTGCCTCAACATACTCCCTAGCCAAAAAAGAAGGGGAGAAAACTCCAGTTCTACAGACCTTTGCAACAATTAGCCATCAACCCAGAACTCAGAGACTAGTCAGCAGCTGTGACTGCATTAATAGAGTTTAGATTAATATGCAATGGAAAGTCCCAATTGATGTTTTCTAGTGTCAGTATTAAAAAGCAAATTACCTCCCGATGAACTCTGATAAATTCACGAGGATCTCCTTTTGCCCATGGGGGGAGTATTACATCACCAAGTTTAGTGCCATTTTGTTTGCAACCTATTATAAAAAGAGAAGTTTGGAGAGAAGCACTGAAACTGCACTACAACAGCAACGGGGGAAAAAAAAATGTAAAAGAAAATCAAATTCTAACACCTTTCTTTTATAAAGTAACCCATTTCAGTCTTTTCTTTAAAATACCAAGTTATTTTTAAATGGCAGCAATAAAACATGAAAAAATCTGCCTCAGTTGTTCACGTAAGATTGCTCATAGGAGGAAGAATTCACATATTTCTTACTAAGACTCTTGAAGATGACCACAGAATCATAGAATGATTTGGATTAGAAGAGACATTAAAGATCATCTAGTTCCAACCCCCCTTTCATGGGCAGGGACACATTTCATTAGAGGAGGTTGCTCAAAGCCTTGTCCAACCTGGCCTTAGTTTCCGTTCTAGTTTTGATTGTGACAGTGTTTCAGCATATGCTCTTCAAAGCAAATATTAACCTTCTAGCTAATGGTGTTGATTAGATTGTGCTTCTTCAGTCTTCACAACTTGTCCTGGGTTCAGCTACAGCAGTCATTTCTTCTCCTTCTTAGTAGCTGGTGCAATGCTGTGTTTTTGACTTTCAGCCTGGGAACAATGCTGATAACACCGATGTTTTTAGTTGTTGCTAAGTAATGTTTACTCTGACCAAGGACTTTCTCAGTCTCATGCTCTGCCAGAGAGGAGGGGAAGCCAGGAGGAAGCAGAGGCAGGACAACGTACCCAAACTGGCCAAAGGGGTATTCCATACCACAGCACGTCATGCCCAGTATATAAACTGGGGGGAGTTACCCGGAAGGCCCAGATCGCTGCTCGGGTCCGGCTGGGTATCGGTCGGCGGGTGGTGAGC